GTATACCGTTGGAGGAAGAATAGGGGCTTTCTTCTACTCAAGCCAATACTGCAGTACGTTGTCGGCCTACGAGGGCTTTGCAAGTCATCGATAAGTTCGATTCGCCGTCGTCCATTCTAAAAAGAGTTGCTGAGGCGTCATATTTCTAGTCCCAAAGTGGATGATGACTAGCATGGGACACTTGAACCCCTTCTTCCTCTGTGACTGTCTTACTTCCCCATATGCTACCCTCTAGCTTGTAGTTTCTTTATCTTCTGTTTCCGGTTGCCGGCTTGCCTTTCCGCCTTGGTCTCGTATCTGAACTTTTTCTTCTTCTTCTTGGGTTCAGCAGCATTTCCCCTTGCCAGCCGTGCCTCTGCTGCCCTCCGCTCCCTCTCTTCTTCCTCATCTTCTGTTGTCGGCTCTTCCTCCGGCTTATGCAAACCGTCCCTCGAGACACTGACAGACTCAACTATCACGGAAGTATACTTGTCTTCATCGATGTATTCCTCCTCGTGGTCTACCGGCTCCTCGACAGGCGCATCTGCTAACCCATCCCACTCCTCTCCATCTTCGCCTGCAGACTCTTGCTCACTAACACCACCAGCTCGGTCCGCCTCTCGCAATATTGCGCTAACATGCTGAACATGCTCTTCTACTTCTCGCTTCCTAGCCTCACGCAGCTTCGGAGTTCATTAGCCGAAGTCCACATTTAGATCTCAACGGCGGGGCCCTCCTCACCTGTTTCCTCATATCAATCTTCTCCTGCCTCGCCCTCTTGGCTGCCTCCTGTTGTGCCAGTTTCGTCCGTTGTACTTTTCTCTTGTGGAATCCAGTCAGGTAGTCGGCTCGTGCACTGTTGTCGAAATTGATCTCCTCAATCGCATGTGTGATCTTGCGCTTCTTGGACGGTGCGGGTAAGAGGCTCTTCCTCGGTCTGGGGCGGGCGAACATTGTGGTGGCGATCAATGCAGGTTACTATCGCAGAATGTGTAAATAGCGACCTGATATATATCCTTCGGTAATTTTTAGGGGTATGTCATAGATCTTAGAGCCGGAGCTTGGATATCGAAATTGGTGTTGAACTTGAGTTTACACCCCAAAAGCTGGAAAGAAAGCCTACTAAGTTTTCGGCTCTTGATTCCACTGAAAGCCGCCAAACCCCAGTATAGTTCCGGGGACCTTGCAGCGCCCAAAATCTGGTTCTCAGCCTCGTCGGAGTTAGCCGGCTCATCCACTGACAGGCTTCGACATTTGATACTGGAGCTCTGATTGAGCTCAATTCGCATACGTCGTCGTCGACAAGTTTCATCAACGTCCAACCTCAGCACTGGAGACAAAACGACACGATGCGTCTCTCAATAGTAGTCCTCGCTGCTGGTTGCGCCACGGCGTATGGATTCAGCAACACCTCTCCCTTTCTCATGTTCTCCACGTCCAAGTACGTTGCTATTCCTCCGTGCCACTACAATCAATACTACGAGATGCTAACATCCCCTACAGGTTCGCATCCTCCCCAGATGAGCTACGCTCAAGCGAAGCCGTCCATTCCGTGACTACAGACATTCTGTCCTCCTGCCCAACTGAGCGCTATCTCCTAGTCTCGCAACCAAACCTCAACATTCAACACCTCGCCTCTAGCACCGCGGCGCCGAAACTGCAGAATGCACTCACATCATCTGCGATTCAGGGCCGACTTTCCATCTCCGAGATGAGCGGGACAGTGGACCTCAATTCAGTCTCGTCCTTCCTGCGAGAAAGCTGCCAGTCCACCGGCAAGACACCCTCCATCGACGTCCTGGCCCTCGATCCCCTGCCGGCATCTGGGCAATTCCAGGACCTGGTCGAGAGCCTGAGGGAGAATGACGATAATCTGGGGGTTGTGCTGCAGCAGTACGAGATGGCGGGTGATTACACGTTTATCTACACTGCCGGCCCACGTACCGAAGAGGCCAAGGAGGCGAAGAGCTACGAGGCGACTTTTAGGGATACCACGCATCAGGAGCTCAAGAGGCAGCTGGGGAAAATTCAACGGAGAGAGGATGCTAGGGATACCCGGCCTTTATTTGAGAAGTATCAGTTCTTCACGCCTGGTAAGCGATCCTTTGAGATTCCAAAAGAAGAAAGGCAGAGGAGAGAACGAGTATGTACTAATGCTGAATAGGTATCTTCATGGGTCTTGTTGCCCTGTTCATACTGTTTTCTATCCTCGGCGTCGGTATCTCAGCACTTGGAAGTCTACAAGTCCCCTATGGTGCCTTTGATAAGGAGATGGGTCCGGCGGCTCAGAAGAAGCAGAATTAGGAATCTGCTAGTAAAGCCGCTCAGAATCTGGGGAAACATGGTCGTTACTGACAAGGGAGGCGGTGAATGCTGTATAGAATCAGTGTACAACCAATTTTGCTATGGAGGTGTTACAGGTCTTTATGTGTGGGATAGAGTCTAGAAGGAGGGCTCTGCCATGGAACCGCTCTATCTATTAATGAAGTGTACATCGCATACGTTATAGTTAGCGGACCAACCCATGTCATCCTAAAGACACACAATCGCTCGACATTGCGATAGACTAGATATCAACGTGCACTAGTATCATTGTTCTGAATCTCAGCTGTCTCGGGAACGCCGAAAATGCCCACCTGGTATATGCAAAGCCAGGATTATGTTGTTGTCTCAACTCCCGTCTGGCATCTACTTGTCGATCCGTCTATCGCCCTGCCCCTGATCCGTCCTTTTAGCGCACTTCCCTGCCTCCTACCTCGCGCTCATCCACCTCAGCCAGCAACCGATCCGCCCCTTGAGCCTCCACCATCGGCCGTTCAACTAGAAGCAGCCGTCCGTCCTCAAACCAAATGACTAGGCAACAGGAAATTCGCAATTCCCTCGTGGACCGCGTACTCGTGCCCGCAGTTCCCGCACACGAGCTTGCCCTCCATGATCTGCGTCTCCATGAGCAGGCTATGCAGATCCCTCAGGGTCTTCTCGTCGCCCTGCAACTCCTCGGCGGACGGGGGTTGCGGGGGGAGAGTCGGGAGACCCAGCTAGCGCAGATTCAGCACTGGAAACACAGGTGTGCGTGCTCGAAAGACCGAGTTATGGAAAGAAGAAATCAGAAGAAAAAGGAGAGGGGGAGGAGGACATTGGGTGGAATATTGTTAATGTAGGTTTCTCGCTAGCATACCTCAGTTGCGGTCGTGCTCAGCGCAGACCAATCGATGCGGGGCATCAGGTTGATGAGCAGCTGGGGGTTGACCTCGATGTCGTCCTGCACCAGCTCGGCGTCCTTGGGGTGTAGGGGATATGAGTCCGAGGAGCTTTTGCAGGATTTCACTGCGCATGTGAGGAAGTTTAGACTGAGGACCTTCATTTTTGATCGTGTCTCCTGCTGGCCTCTGTTCGAACTTAGTGTAAGTTGGTAGTTGAGATTTTTGAGGTTGTCCTCAAATTTTATGGGGCCGATTCTGCTGTGGATGGGTGGTTTTAAGTTGGGAAGCTTCTATGCCATGGCATCATATCAACGACGACAAGTCAAGGAGGACCAAACGAAAGTAATAGATAGCGAGATCTCTCAATGCACTGTGCTTTTGGTTCATATTCAAGTATTTACGCCATTGTTTTCTCGTAGCCCAGGCTCTCTCTGTCTCCTTTTTGTCTAGTCAAGCGCAGGTAGATGGCAACCACCGCGAGGATGACACCAAAGAGGGCAGCCTTCTGGAAGAGAGACCAGCCCTCAGCCGACATAACAATATCCGTGTCTTCAAAGGGGTTTGCAGCTTCCTCGTTGGAGAATCCCGCAGCGAATTCCGCACCGCCGTAGAGGTTTTCTGGGGTTAAAGTCGAATCAGCTAAGTAGTCTTCGGGTAACATAGCCGGAGGCGAGAGAGTAGAGGTAGTGGCCCAAGACGAACTGGGTATGTATCATGATGAAGGATGATCTTTAGAGCTCCACGTGAATACCTTCAGCCGGAACCTCCAACTCCCCGCTCTTGGCAATTTTGATCTCCTTGACAGGCTTGTCGCCGGGCTTGGTGGGGGAGTTTTCGATCTTCTCGATAATGTCATAGCCTTCGAGAATCTCGCCGAAGACGACGTGACGGCCATCGAGCCAACTACAATCCTGGTTAGAGCCAATTATCGCCAGAACTATAAGCACGGGTGCACATACGAGGTAATGACAGTGGTGATGAAGAACTGAGAGCCATTGGTGTCCTTGCCAGCATTCGCCATAGACAGAATGCCCTTCTTGGTGTGCTTCAGCTTGAAGTTCTCGTCGGCAAATTTGTCGCCGTAGACTACGAAAGTCAACAATCAGCTTATCATCATATTCGAATGCGGGAAGAATGCAACTTACTCGACTTGCCACCAGTGCCATCACCCTTGGTGAAGTCGCCGCCCTGAATCATGAACTGCTTGATAACTCTGTGGAAGGTAGAACCCTCGTAGCCAAAGCCCTTCTCGCCGGTGGCGAGGGCTCGGAAGTTCTCAGTCGTCTTGGGAACCGTTTTGCCGTAAAGACCCATCACGACCCGACCCATGGGCTCATCCCCTTGGGTAAGGTCGAAGTAGACCTTGTGGGTGATCTTGGGGCCCTTCGTAGCCTCGGCGGTCGAAGCGAGGAACACCGTGCTGACTCCAACGAGCAGCGCCGCGCTGATGGCGAGTCGACGCAGGGAGAACATGGTTGATGATGATGTGAGATCAATTGACCAGATTGGGCTAAGTATATACAAGATTGACGCTATCAATGGCGTCGGTGGATGAAAGACAGAAGAAGATGCAGAAGGTGCAGCGAGCTCCTTCAGTGTACTGTTATGAAGATCAAGCTACGTTTCAACTCGAGCTCGATACACGACCCCTGGCAACGGCAGTTCCAGATTCGTACATAGGGAGGGGTCCTTACCGCCGCGATAAAGGGAAGCTTGATCTATGATGCTTGATCTATCCCGATGAAATGCCGAACCTGTTGACACTAAATTAAGGGTAGGTACGATAATAAGTGCACTTCTTTTCAACAACCAAGGCCAGGCACGATGGCGGAGTGGTTAACGCGATGCCCTGCTAATTTCCTATAGATTAGCATTGTTAGGCATTTCCCTCGGGAGCGCAGGTTCGAATCCTGCTCGTGTCGCTTAAATTTTTGTCTCTATTCACCATTGCTCCCTCAGGTGGGATTTCCTTTTTTGCTTCTTGTCACTTTAAACTTGCTATTTTCCTTACAGAGGGGGTATAAATATACATACATTCTTTTTCCCCTGATACTAGTAGAGCAATTTGTATATGCTTACTTGGTAGTTTTCACATCTGGCCGACGGCTGGCGAGCTGAGCAAGAGTAGCAAGGGATCTTCGGGTTCGCTTAAGTAACTACTGTGATACCTACCTAGCAAACTGGCTCGTGCTTCTCCTGCGACATCTAAACTCACCCACTTTCGAGATTGGCAGCTTGTTTTGCGTGAGCCGCTTCCGAGCCTAACATTGCGACAACTCCTGGTGCTCTTGTGTCAATCAAACTAAGATGGTAAGCTGCTGAACTCTGTATGTTTGGCTTCAAAATCGCTGACACTCCCCAGGTCTTTGTCCTAGGCGTAAACTTCCACGAGCGGAAGCTCGTCAAGAAAGCCCTCGAGTCCTTCTACGCCCTGGGCCCGCAAACCTCGGCGCGCATCATGGCGAAATACACCATCCACCCACTGGCACGGATGGGGACGCTGCCGGTCAAGATCGTGACCTCCCTGACGGCCGAGCTGTCGACCATGACGATCGAGAACGATGCCCGGAAGCTGGTCCAGGAGAACATCAAGCGCCTCAGAGATATGGGGACGTACAGGGGACGACGACACGCCATGGGTCTGCCGGTACGGGGACAGAACACGAGGTCGCAGATCAACACGGCGAGGAAGCTCAATGTCCTCGAGAGAGGCGGTGGGGATCGTCAACGGGGTACTTGAGGGGATTGAGGCCAGGTGTTGGAAGAGCATTCGCAGGATGGCTGGCTGGCTGGCTCTGGGCTGAAGCCGCATCGTGTAGCATTGGCGCCGGCGTTACATAGAGGCTGGTGACATTCCCACATAGCTCGATCTTAGGGAACAGGTTGCATCTCGTCCAAAGTGGCTCCGTTCATATGTATTGTATCATACTACGCGGGCTTGGCACTGCTGTACATTTGTTGAGAAGGACATGAATGAAGATAGAAGGTGGCTTCGAGTGTCAATGTGCTGTTCTCCTATAAATCACAATGGGACGTCTTTGAGTTTCGCCTATTCTCAGATGAGGCTTGCTGACATGCGTCTTCGCCGTTCGACCAACAATTTCTATAGACTAGCTCGACATTCGACTGGATCAAGACGCCAGTCCAAAGAGTCTAATGTAGACTTTGGACTTCCTCCTACCCCTGTATATAGCTCTATATAGCGGGTTCATTAGAAAACCAGCCTATATAAGTCATGTCCAGACCATACTACCATCTCATTCGAGGTAGATCATCCTCCAAGACCGGGAAGCCGTCCTCCTGCAACTTGGCAGAAATATCCTCAACGTCCTTCCATACCCTGAGAATGTTCCCGCCGGCAATCTTCGCAGCATCCTCATCCGAGATGCCCCGTCTCAGGAGTTCAGCAATGAGGTCTGGGTACTTGGACACATCTTCTAGGCCCTCAGGGACGGTCGGAATGCCATCAAAGTCACTGCCTAGACCAACATGATCGTACCCGATCAGGTTCCCGATGTGCGTGATATGGTTGGCGACCTGAGCGAGAGTAGCGTTTTCGGGCACGAGGGCAGGGATGCCGTTCTCGTTGCCGACATCTTTGCAGGCTATGAAATCGGGTGAAAAATTCACTTTATCCATTGTCAGCTCATACCCTTTCCTACTTGACGTTTCCGAGAGCATGCTCAAAGTGGCAGCTTACCCATGACGATAGAGTTTGTCCCCTTCACCAATTGCAAAACATCATCCGGCACATTCCTCGGATGCGGACACAGCGTATAAGCCGAGGAGTGACTGAACATGATCGGCGCCTTGCTGCCCTCCCACGCCGTCCCACCGAGGACGTCCCTCATAGTATCGGCACTGACATGTGCCAAATCCACAATCATGCCGATGCGGTTCATCTCGTGGATGAGCTCCTTCCCCCGAGGTGAAAGGCCACCCCAGTACGGCGGGGCCTTTCGAGACGGAGAGTCCACCAGGGCAGAGTCTGCGAAGATGTTGCCGCAGTTGTGTGTGAGTGTAGCATATCTCACACCCAGAGCATGGAAGCGCCGTAGGTTGGCGACCGAGTTGCCGATTTGGTGCAGGCCCTCGACGCCCAAGGGTGATATCAGTCTGCCCTGCTTGAAAGCCTCGAGGGCCGAGGAGCTGGTTAGGCCTGGAACAACGGAAAGGTCCTTTGGGTAGGCAGCGGACAGACGACTCATCAGATCAATCTGCTGGATAGTGAATAAGACGCCTAAAAGTCTGTCAGTTGATGGGTTTGGGGCAAGGGAATACGTCACTAACTATCGTTGTAGTTCTCATCGGACCAGTCTGAGCCATTTGCCGGACACGGGGCATATACGCTCCAGAAGGCTCCTCCGTTCTGTCCTGCTCGCAGTCGGGGTAAGTCTACATGCATTGGCAAGCCGCCTTGCTCGAAGGGTGCCGTGAAATTCTCTCGATAGATATGGTTGCCATATAGGTACCGTATAATAAGTGGGAAATCATCATGTCCATCTAACGCCAATCAGTCATGTCGAGCACTCGGCTAACAGAATCAGGCATTACCTATTAATGGAGTCCCTGAGAGGATGTTATGAACCCGCTCTTCAACAGTCTCCGGGCGTAGGCGAGAGTACGCATGACAAGCCGGGTGGTATGACCGCGGTATGGGGTGCAGAAGTGAGCCAAAGAATAGCACTGAGCAGATTATAGCAATGTGAGCTCTGACGCGGGAGGTCCGAGTTAGCCGAGGCCTCTCGACGTGGAACTCATCAAGCGCCTTCTCAGGCATCTTGGTTGATGATCTGTTGATATGTCAGCAAATACTGACAGATTTGAGCTGATACTGCATCAATGATTTGGTTGGTATCGATGGGGTCAATGCGATACTCACATTTCTGCAATGGTCGTGGAGTAATATCAACGAATTATTCTTACGCAAATGACTTCAGACGGACTCCGATCTCTGAACAATATTGAAGTAGACGGTTGGAAGTGAGTTGAGAAGGACGGCAGCTTCGAGCTCAAGCTCCACCGCCGCTGCTTCCAACTACCTAATCCGTATGGCCCCGCTATACCCCGGCTACCCCGGCCCGTCGTTTGAGCCCGGCTGATGGCGCCTGTATGTCGTGACTGCTTGACCGCGAATATGACAGGACCTTCGAAGGCTCTTACATACACAGAAGACGGAATCGAAATTTGAAGCCAACTCATGGGGTCACCAAGTTGGGAGTCTCTTCATGCCTCTAGCTAAAGAAGTGCAGAACCCAGGTCGAATCAAATCCTAACCTTCACCTGTGATTACAAGAATCATCGGCATGTCCCTAAGTATTCCGTGGGTGAGATAAATCTGCACGGACAATCCTGTATCCGTTGGAACAATAATCCCGAAGCCTATCTGATCTTCGAGTACTACACCGTAGACCATTGCTCTGAAAGTATTTAGAGTCAAGCTGTACAACTCGACACGCGCGAAGGTATAGTCATAACTGTTCGGATGTTTGGTTTCGGTAGCTATCCTATGAAATACGAAGTAGAACAAATTAGGGGCTTCTTCATCATTGTAACCGTCATCCTAGTATACATATCGCTGAGTTTTAAGTCTATAAGTAGCACTCATTGTATTGTAGGCTCGTAACTAATTGTACAAGCTCGTCTGTTCCTCGCATTAGCAGATTCAGGGAGAAGTAATCACTTACTGTAGTAGCTCTTAGCGAGATCTTGAAACAAGCGTCCGACCCAGTCAAGGCAAGGTTGAAAGGTGCTTAGCACAAGAACATATTTAGCTGTCATAAGACTACTAGTTATTGGGTTCAATTCTTTTCACTTACCTGCTTGACGAATTATTACAGCAGGTCGAATTGGGACTAGCCCGCCACTTTAATGTTACAGTACATGCTGCTCAACTGATTGCTGCTGGCATACGTCATCACGTTCGTATAAACCAGAACCGGAAATTGAGAATCCTAATTGAGTGTTGTGGCGAATACCAAAGTCGACACCGTGAAGTCTTAAGCAAGAACTTGTTGCCCCTTACAATACATAGTGCATGTGCATGCATGCAGTAGAGTTGGCGTTTCTGCAGGATTTGGCCAAATATGAGATGAAACAGACTTCTCTGGGGTAATTGGCGCCTAGAAGGAGGTCGTTATGGGCCCGAGCCCGATGTTTCGTGAAGGGAAGGCAGCCGGCCCAGCTGACCGCTGCGTTGGCGTCCAGGGGCAGTCGCAGGGGTTGTTTGTCAGTGCTTCCAGTGGCCGGCCTCGCGAAAGGATCCAACCGGTTCGTCATCCAATAGAGAATGATTTTGGCACACAGCTCTGCTCACTCAGCTGTGTGGCCCCCCGACTGGCAAACGAAGTCGTTTTCGCTGGATGGAGCCAAGAACATTAGATAATCGTGACTGGATTCCTTCGTTTTGATTCAAAGCTTCAACAACTGTCTTTGTTGCGTGTGTCATTGTATTACTTGCGACTTCTGATCTTCACCTGCATCCGCGCGACGAAAGCACTTGTACAGCCCTCATTGCCTTGGCGCATGACTGTTAGTACTCACGGTCTCCTTCTTTGTGCATCGCATAGACCAAACAGTACGACCGGTGATGAATCACGACCCCTGATACGGACTACAGCATCAGAATTGAAGGAGACTCCGACCGATCAGTGCAGCACTAATTCTGTTGGCCCAAGGCGTGCTTGTGTCTTTCACGATGCCAGGCTTCGCGGATTCGTTTTGGTCGTCAGACTATGCTGCAGGTACATGCGGTAACAGCGAAACAACTTCTATCATGATACTAACACGACTCGGTAGGACTGGGTGTTCTGTTTGGCAAGCTCCAGCAAGGCGTGCAGGAGAATCGACAAGTCTTGATCATTGCCCGAATGCGCGCTGAAGCTGAAGACCTCTATGGTTCCAAATTAGGAGACATTGCGCC